AGAAAGGCAGCTCTAAGCATCCAATGGAGGGATGCTACAGGGGCAGACGTGGTGTAGTACCTCCTCTGGGGTTAGTCAGAGAAAAGCAGTGTCCTTTCTGTATCTAAAGTGTCCTTTCGGTTAAAAAGGTGCTTTTTTTTTAATCTAGAATTCCATTTTATACAAGCACAGCTGAAGATCCTCATTTCACCACCATAAGGAACTGATCATGAACACATCAAGAACTCACACTGGCAACCAAGCCTCAGGTACAACTCAAGATTGCCCAAATTCTACTGTCTTCATCAAAGTCATCAATAAGCAACTCCTTTGTAGAAGCTGGCATCCTATTCCGTCAAACAGGACTATTTAATTTTTTTTTCTTATTATGAATTATCAAATCTAAAACTAATGCATACAGCTGACATAATTGACACAATTACTGAAGAGCTGGTAGCATGGCATGTCACCATTCTGTGCTTCCTTGCTCTATTCCAACCTTTCCTCGGCAAGAAGCAGTATTGCAACACTACAGTTTAATCTTTGTTCTAGTTTCTCCTCTCCTACCTGGATTTCAAAGAAAAATCTTGCAGGGACTGTCTCTGTCTCAGATAGTTATTTTCATGAACCTTGCAACATTTGGTACCACCCTACATTCCTCAGCTCTCTGATTTAGTACATTTTTGTAAATACTGAATCACTGAGCACCAATTGTACAAAATAGTGAGAATTAAGCACTGTTTCACAGGGCACATGCATTACATCAATTACAACAGAAATGAGATGGGTGATGAAAGACTGTTGGTGGTACTGCACATTGGGACCACTATTTTGAGCACTGCTTACCATTAAAGATGACCTAAACCTTGCAGAGAAACAGCCATTTTACCTGAATTTAGCTTTCATATGTAGTAAGTACATAGGAAAGACTACAAATCATCACCATAGCTAAATACACAGCAAGGTATATTTTAGAGGCACAACTGACAGTTCAAATGTTATAGATCCCAACCATTATAGACATTTGCCTTGCAATTTCTGAGGAGGAGCAGTACAATTTGGCAGAGCCTTAGAGGAACAACTGTCAACCAACCGAAGCTCAAAAAAAGTCAGGTATGTCACGGACAGCAGAGAGCAGTTATTATAAAAAATATAGTATGTCAGGAATTGTATTCATTTTCTTGTCTCCATTCTCAGATGGAGCAACAATAAAAGGTGTGGAATAGAATTCTAAGCAAAAATGATTAAGACAAAATGCTTTTAGGCTATAGAACAGAGTTTCAAATTTATTCAAAACTCACCATAAGCTTCCCTCCCACAGAAGAAGTGATTCAACTTTCCTCTTCTCTGTGCTTTCTCCTTTGTACCTACATGGTTCCTACGATTTAGCTAGTGATACACAACAACTTCGTACTACTGAGGAATTTTTAAAATCCCTCAGGTCAATGCTGAAGCACACTAGTTAATGCAGGTTTGGCACTGGTAAAGCAATCCTTTCCTGCCATCTAGGGGACGCATACTGGTGTGCAAGTGGAGGAACAGAGACGATTGTCTTCACAGTTACGTATAAGAAAACTTTCTATATGAAATGCTTATCCCTATGCAGCAAAACAAAAATCACTTTAACTGAAGAGCAACACAACTATCAAGAAACAAACCTAACTGAAGAGTAGCACAACTATTAGAGACCAGATGCATAACAGTTTAATTCTAAAAAAAGTTAAAGGTTATTCCAAGATGCAAGTTCCTACTGCTAGTGTTGGCATTGTGGTCACATTTTTTTGTTTGCTCTCCTCACTGTTGCCTTCCTGGCTCTTTCACATGGCAGGATCTACAAAAGGAAAGAGCAAACTCAGCTAAAAGCTAAGCATAGTCAAATGCACACACAAAAATCCAAATAAGTTTTTTTTCACTCCTCTTCCATTTGGATTTGTTTTGCTCGTACTTTGAAAGGGAACAGTCCACTAAAACAAACAAAGACCCATGGTTCCCATGGCTCAAATGATGTGAAAGTCTCTTTAGGATCAAAGTTGGGGTTTCTCCTGGGATGAAAGGAAGCAGGCGTCCAACCAAGATGTTTCGTCAACTGGCTACCGTAGTACAATATGCAGGCCCCGATTCTGCCCCAGTGAAGGGACTGAAGATGAAATACTTTCCCTAACCCCTACACTGGAAGAGAGTGTTACACTACTTTGACATTTTTTCACCAAAGAGCACAAAAGCCCCCCAAATTTAATAGAAGTCTTAAATTAATCTTATTTTGATAAAAAAAAATTGAGTAGCTCTGCCCAAGTCCTCTTCCCATTACCGTATGCATTGTGTTTAAGTAGTTGGAAAGAATCACTGGCTTAGGGATAGTGAAGCTTGCTACCACCTAGGCAAGAAATTCCAAAACCAAACAAATAAAAAGCCACTTGCCAACCCATTAGAGCAATATAATATAAATCTGTGTAAGACACCTTAATTTCTTGAACTGGAACACAGTATATGCTTGCACAGCATGAACATTAGTTTGACACTAAGCGAGCACAGCTATGGAGAAAAAAAAAAAATCACTCTTTCTCACAGTATTATATTTATGGAATTTGTTATTCACAGAAAAAAAATTATCTCCTGCAAGATCAGGAAAACAGCACACATTTCATTACAAAAAAAAATCCCAGTGGTCAACAGCGAGCCTTAAATTTGGTACAGAAAAATTGGCAGAGATTAAAACTAGAAAACTGCTAGTACCCACATGCATTAGGGGAAGCCATGGATCCCAAGTGTTAGCACAGCCTGCCCTGCTAAACTTCAGGAAATACATACCCCTGAAGAAAAGAAAAAAAGAATAAAGGGACATGGGCTTGAATTAGAGACAGGATGGAAATGTAGCGAGACACCATCAAGAAATCAAGACTGCTTGTTTCCTAAGCCTGACCTCCAGTGGTGAGTACAGAGACTAAGATAAGGTACACCCTTAATGCAAACTGCCATGAACATACTCTTGAACAGTGGAAAAAAACCCCTACTATATGGATTCAGGACCACTCAAACAGCTTGAACATTGCACTTAAAGAAGTAAATTATAAAGAAGTCACACTCAGCCAAAAGGAGAACTTTTGTGCCTATGAAAGCTCATACATTCCGGCTTTAGTTTTCTGAAAATAAAGCAATTTTATGTCAGATTTGACTATTTACAGTGCCATTAGTGTAGTCTTGCAGAAGTTCTGAACTACCCAAAAGTCCGTAAGTCATTGGCTTGTATCTACAAAGCTTTCTCTTCATTTAACATATGCTTATCTTTCCATTAACTTAAGAAACTACAGGCAACAAACATGCAAGGTTTCTAGGCTTCTTTTTTAAATGTGATAAAACGTATGGTTTCAAGAAGGCAACTTTATTCAGTGTTTCAGGAGGCGTATTCCTATGCAAGAGATGCATCGTGTCTAGGTAACAGCATGTAAATATAGGCACATACTTATTTTGCTACTCTGGCCCTTCTGCTTTGAGAACATCTTCAAACCCCTTTATTCTTTGAGAATATTTTTGAAGTTGCTGGGGAAAAAGGAAATACATCGTGTTACATTAAGAAGGTCAAAATTAACACACTAGGCAAAGAGACTGAAAAAGTACCTACTGTTTAAAGCCTATCCCTATGAAATAGTGTTGGGATTGAACAGAAAAATGGGAATTCAACTGGTTGTACTTCCTGCCCCCCACCCCCATTTTCACAACTCAACACAAATTATTAATCTGTCTGTAAATACTTGTCTACAAGTCATGTTTTGTACAGAAGCTTTTTTTTTCTTTTTTTTTTTTTTTTTTTCACGAAAAAAAACCCCAAAACATAAATGAAAGTACAGTCTCTCAAAAAAAATTGAAAAGCACAAAATCAAGTGCTTCGGTAATTTTTTCATCAGAGCTTTTTTCCACCCCAAGCCCCCGTTTTGGGGTGTGTTACAATATTTACATGGTAAAATGACTACCAGTTTGACTGTAGAATTTTGTTTTCAAAACTGGAAAAAAATCAGATTGCATGTTTTACAGGGGACATCTCAGTTTAGGAAGAGCGAGTGAACTTTTTAAAATTTCAATACATGAAATTATAATAGAGAACACCAGAATATTTGCAAGCTACAGTAACTGTGGATGATAGGGTAAAGAAAGGAAAGAAAACTTTCCTTCTCAACTACAAATAACCCACTTTAGCATGCTAAATGGTACAAAAGGAAAAGTAACTTTTTATGATCACACAATGTATTTTTTTCCTTAATAGATGGTTTTCACTTACCTTATATTATTGAAGCAAATAAAAGCTGGACAAAAAAAGACAGGAAGGATAGTACAGTCAACTACTCAATTAGCCAGCTTATTTTTTCTAGTACTTATTTATGCAGTATGGCTTTATTCAGTCTTAAAAAAATTAACAGGGAGGGAAAATGAAAATTATTACTGGATCTACTTAGTAACAACAGTTAGCTTACAGACAAACACACCAGGGAAAGGGGAAGGGAAAGTCTTATGTAAAACTTAATTCCACTTCAAACAAACTAAGAAAATTCAATTAAGCAAAAGAGCTTAAAAGTCTGTAAAGACTACTTTCAAAAAGTGGATCCTGCCAACCTCATGCAAGCATGACAAAAATTGCTCAAAGGTGCATGCTCATAGAGGCTGCTAAACAAATCAGAACTATTTCTTTCATAACATGATGCATTATTTTAACACAATGGGTCTGATTTTATAAATTAGACTGTAACATGCATATCAATTACTTCATTACAGTATCCCGTATTTTGAGTAAAATGGATTATTTAGGAGAAAAATCATTGTGATATCTTACTCAATGTTTTTAAATTTTTCCTTACATTTGTAATTTTCTCCGAGAAGCTGATTAACAGTGTTCTTTGTGAACAGTATATTAAATGCAGAATATTTTTGAAGTGCAAAATCTACCTGCAGTATATTTACTACATACAGATTAACAAAAATAATGCAGTGTTTGGCAGTGCAGACACATGCAGTGTTCTAAAGCACCCCATTGTAAAAATTATTTTAAATCAAACTACTTTTAGTTGAACAGGCTCTGAAATAAATCCCCCAAAATTCTACACCAAGCCTTTCTCAAAAAAAAAACCAAAAAAAACCCCACAGCATTTGTGAACAAACTGGTATCATAAATGGAAAACTGTTGTAGCAAATGAAGTACTAAGGTGATCAAAATCAGAGCTATTGTCAAGAATGTTTCCTTCTCTAAAGGTACTCAAAGGTCTTAAGTGTTAAGGAATTAAAACTTTCACTATGCTGATAGTTCTAAGGTCTACAACATGACCATTTCCCCCTAATGGAAGTTATATGTATTACCTCAGGTGAGACTGGACTGAGGAATCAAACTATGTATTTACAAATGGTTTTACCTGGAAAGTGGTGGGGTTTGGTTTTTTTTCAATCAATCAAAGGGCTATACATCCAAACAGTGCTTTTTATAAATAATCAGGACTACATTCCAAATTATATAAAAATAAACCAAACTGAAATTATTAAGTAACCAAACAAGAAACCTCATTCACAGTACCATTTTATTTTTTCATTTATAATTTGCTTCCCTAAGAACAAAACAAATCTTATTTTCACACATTAGAACAGTTGTTAGCATGAACATCGGAGCAAGAAGCTTTAGCATCAGATTTTAACCTTGCCTTGCATTCCTCTTTTTTTCTTTAAGCACTAATTTTCACTGTTGTAAATTATTTTCGGAGCATTTTGACTTGACACTCAACACAGCCTTTCTCCTAAACGTGACTTTTGCTAACCAGCATTAGTATGTAACTTCATTCAACCAATCACTGATTCCACATGCATTCAAAGTCTTCTTTTTAACACTTACAACAACATATTTGCTGATACTTTTAAAATTTCATTAAGCTTTATTCAAATAAAAATGGAATCAAATTGAAATTAACAGAACTTAAAATTTTATTAAAGAAAACTCAGTGTGCTTGAATTACCAAAACATGATTTATCAAAAACATTTTGTCATTGAAGGACTCCAGTCAATTAGCAGAACGTTTCTAGTAACCTGACTCCACATGGCTTTTAGGCATGCAAAAGTGCAGAATGGTGTTTCTGGAAAGCCTGCCAAGCATTTATGTAGGTCAGATCCTTGACTGCTGCTAGGATTTCACTAGGAATTGGGTGTCCATTATTGTTCTTGTTTTCTTTTTTATTTTTTTCTCAGATTTTTTGGGGCATTTGGTGGTTGGGTTTTTTTGGCATCTAATGTTCTCAATTAACTTAGTTCTCTGCTCCCGCAAATAAGACTAGAAACAAAAATTAAGGCAAAATATTTTCTCTGCAATAGAATCTGAAAACATATTTGATAGTAGGTAAATAAACATTGAGATTAATTTCACTCTGAAGTCTTGAGATACAGCACCGTGATTTTGTTCTGTTTATAAATCTGGCATCTCTTTTTATTTTGCATTCATTTAGAAAACAGAACTCTCACTAAAAGGTGAGAAAAGCTTATGTATACAGTATTCAAAATTTTAACAGATTACAGCAAGTTTACACATAACACTGGCTGCCATGATTCCAAATTTAATTATCAAGAGGTTTATTTTTAAAAAGGTATTCAAGTTCTAAATTACTAAACCAGCACTTAATAACAAAATTTTTGTCCACTGTACAGATGTATTTTCAAGTAAAAGAAAAAGAATCATATCCTAGAACCACTTACCAGAGAAACTGAGAATGAAATAAATTTCTTTTAAGGCAGAAGTTCAATTATATACCAGGTTAAAAGCCACCACAATATTAACTACAACTAACTCGTTCAGTATTTAAAAATTTGCATTCATAACTATTAACTCCCATGCTGGTTAGAACTCTACTGATGTTCCAGGAATCCCAGCTGGAGATACGGTTACCCCTAAAGGCTAAAGCTATGCCAGAGTAAAGTCAACCTACTCACTACTTTTGCATTAATCAAACTACGCTCATTGATGTTAGTAAGTTATATAAACTATTTAGAAAGAGGAAGTATGAAATATTGACAATGACAACAGATTTTTAAAAAGCTATCATTGAAAAAGTTAGAATACGTATTCAGAGGAATTTCAATGCTTAAGAACAGATTCACATATGTTCATCCAGTTGAAGATTAGTGTATTAAAAAAGTTAAGAAAATACTTTGTGTTTCAGTTCAACTGCACTTGATTCAAGTACAGCTTGGGGGTTGGCTGATATAAATTAAACATGGTCACTGCCTCAGCAGCCAGAAGTACAGAAAAATGTGCATGTTCACAGATTAAATAGAAGTCTCTTCTTTTTGGGAAGAAGAAAAAAAAAAAAAAAAAAAAGCTATCTCACTCCAATACGGGAAGTCATCCACTCCAAGCCTTGACACAATCTGAAAGATAAGAGATGTTATGTTGGCACTAGTTCCATTCCAACAGCCTTAAAGTACTTTTTACTTGTTTTTATGTTTAAAAACATCTACTTAAAATAAATAAAACCAGCTGGAATTAGAACTGAAACTTGAACAGAGTAAACAGCGTTTTAAACTAAGTCTGCTTAGGCTTTAGCCACAAGAAGATGGCCAAGCATGCTATTTTACTGAAGGTTGGCACTTCAATTTTTTTTCCCTTGTAAAATACACTATTTTTAACATGCTCACTCATAAATACATGGTACCAAATAAGTTTTTCTTTTTCTACAGGTTTCCCATGAAAGACTGCTTACTTGAAAACTAGACCTCTACATACTAATACTAAAGACAAAGGACAGGTGACCCAGACTGAATTGGTTCATGAAAAGGCAGTGTATCAAGAATTCCAAAATCCCACTGCAAAATTAAAAATAAATTTGTATTTAACACCAAGATTGCATGGGATCTAATCTGCTTACTCGCTCAATTTGCATCTCTATTTCAAAGTCTTACATTTCAGAAGATAGGCTTTCATTTGATGTTCTAGGGACCTAGTTACCTAGTTTATGCCATCTTTAAGCTTTACGTTTGTAAAGTATATCATGACTTAGCAATCCAAGAGGGCTAGCTTCACTCACACAGAGCTAATCTCCCTAGACTTCTGTCAGATCTTCCCAGGGAAGATTCAGCTCAGCAATCTAACTCAGGGAATTTTTTTTGAGTCTGTCTCACTACTGCCACAGTTTTAAGTATTCTAATTACTCATCTTTTTTAAATAAGAAAGCAGCAGCCTAGGATGGCCAGTGTTTCTAAACAAGTTCATATTCATTAATTTCTACCTTCCTCCAAATGCCATCTTATTTGAACATCTAAGTTAGTACATAAACTAGATACTCAAAAACAACTTTGGCAAAACTTGTAGGAGAAAAGCACAGTTAACTCTTAGAATGAAACAATACAATCCAAAGACTCAATCAAAAACCCAGTTTGTTTTCACTAATATATCCCCCCTAAGGAAGTGAATGTTGCCAATCACTCTACAAGACATCTCTATTACATTAGAAAATACTTCATACTAGAAGTGAGGAAGATGCTCTCACTTCCCAAATACTCAGTTGGATCACTATTTTTGATGTCACAAGACCACATTATTGTAAAGGTTGTACAACACAGCTGAAAAATACCTCTAACTATTACACATTAGAAGACTGCTTTAAGAATCAAGATAAGAATTAGGACACTGCAAACCATGTAAGCAAGATGCTATCCAACTTGTTACAGGCATCCAAAAATGTTTTTTGATCTTTATAGACAAAGGATCTAAGGAAAGTTCAGCTTTCCATTTTAGTAATTGCTGGCATAAGGTATACAAGTTTCAATATTAGCTACACTAGTCAGATATAAATAAAAGGTTTAATACTGGTAACAACTTTGTTTATGCCAGATCTATGTACCTTTTCCTCAAAACTATGTTTGAATGCTTATCAAAAAACCCACACAACCAAAAAAAGACCCCAAAACCACCACCCCACCACCACCACCTTAAAAGCTTGTGGCAGATCAGAATGTAAAGGAAGACAACAGTAGCTTATTTCTTTAGCTACACAGTCAGACAGAGTGAGAGGGCAGCGCACAGAGAGAAAACAATTATGCCAACAGCTACGTATTTGGGTGGGGGGTGTTGGGGGGTTTTTTTGTGTTGTTGTTTGGGTTTTGTTTTGGTTTTTAACAATAATCTGAAAGACTTCCATACAAATTTGGAGTTTGGGCTATGAAAAAATAGCCACAAGGTTCAGTAAACAAAAGGAAAAATTGAAAATGTCCCCCTGACTGCAAAGATCAGAAAACACGTTCTTTCAGGAAATCTACATTGGTGTCATTAGACTTCTAAATCATTATGCTCATTTACCATCTATTATGATACTAAGCAGTAAGCATTTACCCTTCTCCTGTCAAAGCACAACAGGACTGAATGTGCCATGGGTGATCCTTTATGGAGCTAAGGGTGAGGTATGTAGATATCTCAGCAGCTGTCATGCAACCTTTCATGTCCTGCTTGTTTGCAAAGATGAGAACTGCAGCCTTCCGTAAATCCTAGAAGTAATTTAGAGTATTCATAATAGTTATTATAAAGAACTAAAAGGCTATTGCGTTAACTGAAGTTCTTAAAAGAACTGTATTCAAGCTAATCTACAATTACACAGCAGCCTGGAGTTTTAACAGACTTAGTGCATTAAAAATTAATTACATTAAGACTGAAGGAACCAATTTTTTCAGAAATGTTCTCCACCACAGAGAATCAAATTATAATGTATTATATGACTATCCTTCTGGTGTTGACCACATGTTCATATGTTAACTAATGAAAGTCCTGTTAAAATATATATCATAAAGCTCCAAACCATCCAGCCAGAATTATTACTGGATAAACATTCCAAAATCTAGATATAGATACTATTCAAATGGAAAAGCCTGCTAGATATCATTCCCTTGAAATTACCTCCAACTTCATTAAACAAGTTCTGTAGTGACTAAAGCAGTAACAATTTAAGAAAGCTATCTAAATTCTTCTAAGTTTTGTCCTATTGTTCCAAAAAGGGAGTGCTAATAGTGCTGCAGCAGCTTTAGTAAAAACAGAAACTAATAAAAAGTTGGTTTGCTTCTGTATTGAAATTAGAATTTCACACAGCAATGAGACAAGAACTGGAATGTATGGTTTGAGGAGTGCGGACAGGTAAACAAATGTGATACTCAGGAAGCTGACTGTTGTAATTAAAAGTTTTCAACATATTTAAGTGTATATTAAGTTTTGAAACTACTTCTCCATCAAGAGGAAAAAAACCCAAACCTTTATGTTTCAAATTGAAAATTCACTCCTACAAGTAGTCCAGTCTAGGCCTACTTGACTGTTGTCAAGAGATGGGAGACCACAATTTATAAGAGTTATAAACTCTTAGTTTGTAACACTGGAAACTAATAAATTACATGAGAAAACTTCACCACAAAAAGTCATCCTTCCATCTTTTTTGGTAGTGTATTTGCTCGTTACTTACCAGACTCACACTACACTAATATAAAGTAAAAGCTTCACTCATTTGAAACAATGCAAATTTCTCGGAGAAATGAACTCCACAGAATTACTTGCATTGTACTGAACCCTTTTCCTTCAAAAATGAAGGGAGATATTTAAACAACCCTGATTTAGCTTGAGAGCGATCATGGAAGGTTTTAACCTACTTTAGCTAACCCAATGTAGATGTTAATTTAGGATGTTTGAGGAAGCTGACCCAATGTTGAACAGTCCTCAATACAACATATAATAATAAAATTACAAACAAAATAATTCAGAAGGAAACTGAACTGAAACCAATTTATCCATAGTATTAGACATCATGATACTTAATTTTAAGGAACCAGATTAAAACAAACAAGAAAGGGAAATTGAATTGCCTACTTTCTAAAATAAAAGTAAAAACTAAAAAAAATTTTCATAAAATTTTAACCAATTTAACTGAAAGAAGAGAGACAGTAGTGGAGAACAATAATACCCAGTTACATTAATGCAAAGTTTAAGATATTTTACAAGTTCAACATTTGCAAAGTAGAGTGATTTGATTACAATCAAGCAAACCCTATTAGAAGATTACATCATAATAATTTTCCTGTTTGTTTATAATCTACATGGTTTTAAAATGTGACCAATGCACATGCACATTTAGGCTCAGAAATTTTTTTGTGACACTGTGATTTTTGCTAACATAGGAAGCATGTAATGTTATTTGACTGTTCACAACAAAAGAAAACTATTATCCCAACTCTCCACCATACCTCATGAGCCAGCATTCTATAAAGTTCTTCTTTTGTAATAGAAAGTCGCTCTCTATCAATGCTGTCAACAACAAGAATGATGAACTAGGGGAAAAAACAATAGTACAGTACGTAAGTACAAAGTAGAAATTACAAAAAGCATATTTTCAAGAGACCACTACCACAAGTCTTCCCGTAGAAGAGACACATAGACTATCAGAGCACACTAGAAAATAGAACAAGAGATTTATTGTTAGTCTTTTGCTAGAGTCCTGGAAATCATACATGAAGATTATAGTCAAAAACCAAACAAACCCCCCCAAAATGATTGTGCTTGTACATTTCAGCACTGCCATAAAGATCTACTTTCATGCACTATAGTTAAATCTCCTTGGCGGATTTTCAGGCCCTATACCATAAGCAAAAAAGCACCTACAAATAGTGGAATTACATTTAAAATGTGGCTGACAAACTTGCTACACAGTTACCAGTGAAAACAGCTATAACTGTCCACTACTTGCATACTCAGAAAGCTATAAAATGGAAATTAAAATTCCCTATTTTGAAAGAAGCATTTTTAGCAATTCAGCATCACCATACTCACAAGGCTTAAGAAATGTTGTTTCCAAGTACTACATCAGACCTCAGACAGCTATGTACCTGTAGGGCGTAGTGTTATGTTGTTGCACAACACCTTGACCTTTGTAACGCACAGGGCCCGTGCAGTTGGCCTCTCACTTACAGCTTTGCACCCTTCCACCTAAGCACCTGAGACAGCTATAACACTGATTTTACCCTTGCTGTTCCTGCCAGGCAAATTATTCTCATGGCCCTGCACGTGTGAATCCTGAGACACTGCTAGGTCTGGTACATCAGGTCTCCCATGGGAAGCTATTGTCACTGGTATGAAAATTACTCTCTTCTATCCCACTCTTTCTGCCCCTTGTTTTGTACCTTCTCTTTTATAACCTTACACTAGAGGGGGAAAAGACATGGCATTATGTAGTAGGTAATACTCAAGTAAATGCTTCTAAGCATTATGCAGTAGTACATGTACACAGACCTTAACAACTGATCTGTGTTCAACACCTGCCCTGCTCAGAGTATGCTCCAAGCAGTGCTAACAGCACCATCAGTTCTCTGCCCAAATGGGAATACTTTTCCATCCCTTTTCTCTTTTACTGTAACTCTTTTTGTTTGCCCCGATAACTTAACCATGAGAGCTCCCTCCCCTTTCCTCTCCCCCTATATCTTGCATCTGTAATCCTGTCTCAATATCCTTTCTGTAAGAATATGATGTCTTAAAACAGAATTGCAGAGTTAGCCATATTAAGTTGAAACTAATTAGGACAGGTATGCGCTGAAAAGCTTATTTGTGGGATTTTTACATTACTCCAAAGATTGTGTTTAGATTGCTTCAATTTACACGTAAGGAAAGAGAGACATAGTGACAAAAAAGAGGATTAGAAGTCACCGCTATAATTCTCCAACATATGCTCCACAATCACTTTGCCTTATAAAATTAAGGGGATTCATTACCCATTGAAAATGACCACAAAGTATTAAAAACTAAGTCAATTTAATGCTGCTGTGACTTTGAGATGTCTAGAAGACGAGGAGGAACAGTAAAGGAATTGTTCATACTGGGGAGGCTAGGATTAGCATACTAAACAGACCCCTTTTCTTCCTCAGATGTTTCCAGCAGTCAAAGCTGCTAAGGAAAGGGCAAGTTCTTCTTTCCAAGTGCTAGAAAGCACTGGATTTCAAACACTTACTAGCCAGAATATGACGAAGAACATCCCAAAAGGATGAAAAAAAGAACTAATACACGCATCTTCCCAAATTCCAAAATTAAAGATTCTCAATGGGCAAATATCAAGAATTTATTGTTATTGTACCAGATAATACTGGCAGAATTTTCTTCACCCTCATGTGTACATGTCTTAGATGCAGCCATACTTTTCTAGGTAAAATTAAAAGTAGTAGAGATGAAGGTTGAGATGTCATCACCAGGCTTTCTAATCTTCCCTCTCTCAAAGTCAGGCATAGGGCAGAAAACCTCATTTTACAGGAGGATGGAATGCTTATACAATGTGTAATATCTACAAGAGATCTCTACTTTTAGTAGAAATCATAAGAAATGAAGTCTAAAATCGTTTACATCAATGTAGAAGTCTCAAAGTCAGGCTACCAAGATTTTATGCATATGTTGCGTTGATAACCTTTTGGCATCAGAAAGACTGGTATAAGAACCAAACCCCCAAAAGACAACTGTTGCTGAGTTCTACTCCAACCTGTCCAGCAACGGCAACTTTACTAGTTATCTCACGAGTACTGCACAGCTAGACTTTCCCTTATCCTTTGGATAAAAGCCACAGGCTGATGCGCTTTTTAGATACTTCTGCCGAAAGAAAGTTTTGTTCCTCATCCTTAATTATCATTACCTCAAAAACATTTCAGACTAGATGTACAGAAGTTAGGTTAACCACTGCAAATCCTCACCAAATTTGCAGAATACACTGCAAAATTTTCTTTTTCATCTATTTGAAAAAACATGCAAAGAACCTATTTGATCTGAAATGTATTTTGATATCATTTGATTGGCTAGGGAAAAAAGTCTGACTTCACAGTTTGTACCACAGATCAAACATTTTGGGTTTGTTCTTCCTCAAAAAGATTTAAAAACAATACAACTGCAATCTTTATAAAAAACTACCAATGAGCCTAATAAATGAATACAATTTCAAACAAACTTAATGAATTTGCAGATTTCAAAGCAGCTTCTCATACCTCTGTGTTTGAATAATAGGTATTCCACGATGACCGTAATGATTCCTGTCCTCCAATATCCCACATTAAGAAATGAGTGTTTTTCACCACTATTTCTTCTACATTGCTTCCTATGGTTGGAGAAGTATGAACCACTTCATTCATTAAGCTAAAGGAAACAATATCACACCATAAAGACCAGCCAGTAAAATCCACAAGGCTTGTCACAGCTCAATTACAACAGATTTGTTGTAGAAAAAGTAAATACTTGTAACTGATAAAAAAAGATTAAAAAAAATTTCAAAAAGCTATACATTTGAATTTTTATAGAAATTAAGCAAATATTTAAGAGCAGTTCTTTGGTGAAAATATTAGTTCAATCTGAATTTGGACTAAAAACTGTGCTTGACATTCTAGCATGCTTTTGTAGAAGAGACTATAGACATGCTTAAAGACATCAGTAATGAAAAATAAGCACATAAAAGACTCATAACAAATGGATAAGCATCTGCATTTCAAGAGGCTTTTCTTTTTAAAGGATATTCTTAACATACTTAAACTGCACTTGTTTCAAAGCAGAAGCTGCTATTCTAATGATCCCAAATAAGGGGAACACTAAACCGTGCAAAATATAAATCAGAAAATAATTTTATCAGAGTACTCAACTTAGTAACTCAGTATTAAAAAAAATTCCTGAGGACTGTTTTTTTTACATAGCTGAAAATTTCTCAGTTCTACCTTTAAGCTTTGACAAAAGTGCTTAGGAAAAAGGTTTTTTGGAAAACATCCTCTCCTGCCTTGGTATCCAAATATATGCATAGTAATTTGGCTACACCCTCCTCCTTTTCCACAATTACAACAGAAATTATTTTCCTGCCAATATTCTTGAATGTATCATACTCTTGTAATGCTGCCAAGATTTGGGTGCAGCAATGCTACTGAAAATGCTTAAGGTAGGACCTAGGCAAGATGAAACACTATTTTGATGAATCCTCCATCACAAATTTTAGACACTGGAATTGGGAAACATTTGGAAACATTTATGGATTTTTGCAGAGTGGCTACAATTTCCATTAATTTAGAAATCACTTTCTTCTCTGCAGTCCTTGGCAACAGGATCATTTCTATGCTTACAAATAAAGATAGGCTTTGATGGAAAAGAATTTGCAGTTCACTTTGTGCTTGTATCTACATTTTTGTTATTCAGTTTACAGTTTAAGTTTTAAAACACTTTAGTTCTCTCACTTATCCTTTAAATATTTGCTCTGTTTAGAACAATTAATACCATTAATGTACAAACTGTGATCTAGAACCCTAGAGATTCCGCCAGGTTGCAAAGCTGAATTGTCAACGATTAAACAGCGACAAATACTAAAATGTAAACAGAAAAACAAAATAGTTCATGTACTTACAATTGGTAAAGAATAGTAGTCTTTCCAGCATTATCAAGTCCTACTATGATCACTTTGTGCTCTGCATATACACAAAAAAAGACAAGAATAAATCAGCGGAAACAGCAATAATTATAATTCTGGTTAATCACTTTTCCTTACTGAAGAAAGCAACTGTTTGTTTGTCTTATTTCAATAGCTTACACAAACTACTGGTGACTTCAGGACAAGTGAAAAAAAAAAAATCCACAAAGCCTCATCTTCTCTTGAGACTACGGTTTTAGGAAGTCAGTACTGGAAGTCTTCATAAAGGAATGGTTACTAGTATGATTACTTCATTAAAGAAAGAATCTAGTTTTAGAAAGAAAAGTACAATGAAAAACCATAACTCATAGCAGTGTATCATCTTAAAAACGTCACCAGACATCCCAGGACTGCACAAAGCATTATCCTAACATTCAAAGATCAATAATAACTACCTGTTAAGGGACCACCATCATTCACACAGTAAAAACTGAGAGGACACGATATTTTAATAGATGACAAATCCCCATGTTGCAATTTCTGAACCGAAAAGTCACAGAATGACAGAAGGGTTGAGGTAGGAAGACACTTCTGGAGGTCATCTGGTGCAACCACCCTGCTCAAGCAGGACCATCTAGAGCCAGTCGCCCAGGACCATGTCCAGAGGTTTTTGAATATCTGCAAGGACGGAGACTCCACAACCTCCCTGGGCGGGTGCTCAGTCATCCTTACAGTGAAAAAGTATTTCCTAATATTCAGAAGGAACCTCCTGTGTTGCAGTGTGCACCCATTGCCTCTGGTCCTGTCACTGGGCACCACTGGGACGAGCCTGGCTCTTTCCTCTGGTCCTGTCACTGGGCACCACTGGGACAAGCCTGGCTCTTTCCTCTTTGCACCCTCCTTTCAGGTATTTATATATATTAACGAGATTGCCTCTGAGCCTTTTCTTATCGAGGCTAAGCAGTCCCAGCTCTCTCAGCCTTTTCTCATATGTGAGATGCTCCAGTCCCTTAATCATCCTTGTGTCCCGCCACTGGACTCTCTCCAGTACATCCATGTCTCCTGTACTGAGGAGCCCAGAACTGGACATGCTACTCCAGGTGAGGCCTCATCAGTGCTGAGAAGGGAAAGATCACCTCCCTCAACCTGCTGGAAATTCCAGCGTATAGAATAGTGATCTTCAAAATGCTGCAATGTTATTGTTCCAGGCACAGGGGAAACAAAACCAAAACAAAAAAACCCCCACAAACAAAACCCCCCAGAACTTACATGCTTCTCTGTAGTTAATCCTTCTCAGAATTTCAAATACAACAGCACAGCCAATTAGAATGGTAGTTCTTTTGATACGTGTGTGAAGTTAGAAGATACTGATCTGCTTACTGACAAAAAGCAAACCACTTGAGAGCAGAGAATTTCCAAATGGATACTAGAAGTAAAACTGGCATAAGAAGTCTGAGAACAGGCTCACTTTTGAAGCGGTAGTATTTAAAATTCTAGTGCACTTATTCCAAAGCAAAACATGGTTCACAGCTTAAAGATTTCCTCTAAAATACCACATTCGATCTACAAGACTTATCACAAATTACTAAAAGGTCAGAAGATCTATCATAAATACCAAATTGGTGGGATTTTGCCTGCGAGTGGGTGGTCTGAGGAAGAATTAAAGTGGTTTTCTTTGTGTTTTTTTAATCTATTTATACATAATAACCTAGATCTTTTCACAATGAAATGCTTTTAATAAAACAATCTCTTGCTTGGAACTTTTAGAAGTTTTGCTATGCAATACGGCCCTAACAAATGCTGAAATGTATTTCCTTCTATCGGTTCCCCTACTATTGCATCCTGCCAAGACATTCTAAGGAAAGAACTTTTCCTGGCCTTAAATCCAGTAATATTTGTAGCCCCATAAGAAGCAGCATCAGTATTTAATAACCTTTCCCAATACATAAATAGTATTAAATCCTTCCTACTTTCAACTCTAATAAGCCATGCCACATAGCTAGACTGTCCATCTCCCAATTCAGTTAAGTTTAAAGGGCTTTCAAAGTTCAAACACAGAAATACCCTTCTGTTGTTTTCAAAACCACCATGTTGTCAACTATTGTCTAGAGAAAGACTCCTACTTTTGCAACATTCTGTTTCAGTTATTTGCAAGGAGGAAAAGAAAAGGAATTCTAGTCAGGCGTTACACGGCTCTTTCCCACCTTCACATCAGAATACAGAGTCTTACTTAGGAATGAATGAGAAAAGCGTTGGATGAAACAGTATCATGGTACTTAGAGTAGTGAAAAAAAAGAAAATCCTCATTGAGATGACAGTTTTTGAAAGCCACTGAAATGTGAATGGTTCAACACTAATTGGGAAAAAAAGGCACAGCTTATCTCTGTGTTACTCCATAGTCAAATGGTATTTGATACATTAACTGAATAAGCACAAACAAGAAACAGTCACATAAGTGTTAATTAATGTTGATTTGGGGATGAAAATAATAAGATGAAAGCATCAGTAACTCATACAAATAGCAGTTTCCACTGTTTATCAATGGCAGTTGCTTTCAGAACTGTTATCTATGGTTATGGAAAACTCTTCACTTACAAACATATTCAAAAGTTGAATTTCTGCCTAGTTTGGTTAGATTACACAATTTTTACTTGTGTATGTGCATTAGAGGAAAAACATGTGAACTTAAAAACTGCCAAACCAAGACAGAACAAAATTTTAGCATGATGAATACTTGTTTACAAGATTAACCAGTAGAAGATGCTACATTTAAGAGAAAGGACAATTATGGAGTAAGCCATAGGCAGTAATTTATGCTCATATTTGTGTTCTGTACTTACAGACTAACCCAAGTTTCTCCCTTTCACTGGCTGGTATTCAAACTCAGTTTTGGTTGTATTCATGAATATCTTCCCAGTCCACCATGTTCTTGGCAAAGGAAGAAGAAAATCCATAACAGAGTTGCCAGAGCAGAAGAGCAGAGTCTTTATAAATCAGGTAGAAAGAGGGGAAAAAAATAAGTAGAAAAAGTAGGCATATGCAGGGGAAAATAAAGACAGTGTTAGAGTACTGTTTAAAAGAATCCAAAGAATTCTGTTATATCAACCATTCCGGGCAGACTGTTGAAAAAAAATAAAAAATATATATAGTACTGTTAAAAAAAAAAAATCTCTGGCAGTCTACTATTACAAAACAATAGGACAGTGAAGATGATCTTCTCACAGATGTTAGAAGGAAGACAAAACATGCGCTTTTCTTCACTTACTCTTCTATATTCCTCTGTGATAAAAGGACCCAAAACTGAAGATTCAGTTCTCACAATTTTGCCCCTTCCTCTTTCTAATTTGCAGAAATTAAAAATAAAAATATGTCTAAATACTTTAATGATGAACAAGGCTCTTCCAATATATTTGAAAGAAGAAATGAGTATTGGAAAGGGTACCGACACTTTTCAGGCTGTGAAACACAAACCCCACATCTAGTTCAGAAGAACAACAATCTTGGAGGCTTCAAGGCTAAAGACAGAATGCAGACAGAAGTTTGCTAAAGAGGAGGCAGGAGGAATAGCATTTTACTAGGGTCCAAAGACATTTCAATACAAGAATTCATTCCACACACTAAAAGCTGCCTTAGAGTCTTCTTTTAAACACAAAAAAAAAGCTTAAATACATCTTGTATTTCCAGGCTTGATTACAAGAAAGTAGCCCTTAGTAGTCACTGGAAACAAAACGCATTTGGTTTTCCAGAAAATGGTCTCTGCTAACCTGACTGTACAGCTTGGGAACTGTCAACAAGCCTAGGTGACCTAAACTGTTGAGTTACAGAAGTTCGACCACCCTAACTTAGACCTCACCATTATTTTTCTTAGGGCACTTTTTTAAGACCTATAGCACTTATTCAGAGCAATCTGGAAAACTTGTAATGACTATAATTCAAAAAAAATTAAAATATAGGTTTATGAACTTCTTCAAGAACTCTATCAGCCACACACACACACAAAGGTATAAGGTATTGAGAACTGTCAGAGTGGCCTTTATCAGGGTTGCTGACATTCACTTTGTTTTTTTCCTTATAATTTTATTAAAAGCAATCTTAATAGTATTGATGGAATGATAAGTCAAGCAAGTTTTATTCAGCTTTGTGTTAATGCACGCAATAAGTTAGTTGCTCCACCATTTATTCATATTACTACATGTTGCTTAGAAGACTGTGCCATTTGAGTACTGAATCATAGCATAAGCCGGTCATTTCTGAAGTCTGATTTTTTTTTTTTAAACACACTTTAAAAAATTATTTTCAAAATGCGTGTAAGTTCAAGCTGAACTATGACACTTTATAACTAGACTTTAAATGGCTGCAGGGCACAGTATTTTAAATTAAATCAATACTCAGGCAATGTTTTTTGTCAGTTTCAAAATCAAGAAAAAATAATCAGGAAGCCATCAATAAGTCACCTAGAAAAAAGACAAAAGTTTATTTTTAAGCCAATTGTAAATGAAGTGTATCTATTTCAGTTCACATCATTCAATTACCACTTGATTAAGAGACAATATATGTTGAAAGCTGAAAGACTAGAAATGCTTATTGTCCTCCCTCCTTCAGGCTTTAACCTCTGCACTGAAAAGGCAAGGAGACGAGAAAACAAGAAGATTAAATCATAGAATAGGACTCTGGAACAGTTTTGCCCACTACCATCGCCACCACACAAACAAAACCAGCCACTGTTTAAAGACTACTGCCAAACTCCAACTGGAAATGAACCCTTCCAAACATATCCACAGAACTAAATAGATAATTCCCTGATGGACTGTGCTCAGGGCAGAGACTGTTAGCCTTCCTCTCTTTCATTAGTCATTGACTCACAGGCCAGCACAGGCATCACTCCGTTTCCTTCAAGTGCTCTGCACAGCAGCTTTTCCTGTTCCGTAATCCCACATATCAGATTTGGAGAGTAGACGGTGCACTGCAATGGAAAAGCAAGTGCATTCTGCCAGGGAAGCAGGAAAAAGAGCTAAAGGCTTTCCCCTTGTGAAAGTTCCCATCACAGCTCAAAGCCACACAATACTATTTTAACCATTACATTTTTCACCATGAGCTAGTCTGGGTTTGCCAAACCAGGCTAACCATAATCCAAATGGGCTGAACCAACTGGAAAAATTTCTGCTGCACGTACAGTGAGTTGAAACAGAATGACAGATTCAGCTCCCTGGTAGGAACAGACAGATGCTACCCAAAGTCATAGGGCTAAAACAGTTGGATACAAATAGTAAGAAATGCTGCTGGAAGGGGTCAATAGATAACATAGTCAACAGATAACATTAGTCAACAGACACTTATCGCTGAATATCTTTAGAAACAGATTAGGTCAAGCCTCTCCACCTTCCAGTACCTCATCCTTACCATTGGAAAGGATGGTAAAAGAATCAAATTGCAAAGTAGCAAAGATGAGGTGTAAATTAACAAAGTGACATTCAGTGCTTTAGCAGGATCTAAGGTAACTTCATAACCAGGTTTTCCTGCCAGGCAGAAGTCACTCCGAATGAACTCAATTTTCTGTACCTCGCACATTTACTTTAAGCGCACTGAACCCTGAGGCACAAAAATGCACAGGACTTACTTTAAGTTGTTTTAAGATGCG